TACAGTTATACACATTTTGGTTCTATCACAATGGAAGAGCCGACTGGTGCCGGGTTACACATTACACTTGGCTACCTCTGCATCACTGTCGACCACTCTTACGCCCTGTACACTCGTTCTAACGTTCCTAACTCAAGTCCCATTGGAGGAGTTACACTTTAATAATATTACACTTATCAAGCATGGCGATAAGAGTAGTTCCATTTACTTGGGTTGAATCTGCAGACGGATGGTGTTGCCGGGTGTCGAGTCAGTGCCCATTCAGACATAGCCTGCGGCCACAATTGGCCAAAATTACTGTTATAATAATCCCCTTCCTAATTCGGTCTCTGGGTTATATACCCATATTTATGCTTACTCATTATTTTCCCGGAGGGTGTAAGTCCGCCTCCAATGACGTCTTATCCCAAGGTGGGTGATCTCGTTGGCTGGGATCCTAAGGGGACACACCCCCTTCTACTGCTAAACCGTTTGGCTGACACTTTTACCTCCAAACGTCCCCCCATCACACAAGTGTAAATTCTGTAGTTAGCAGTTCGATATACATTCAACGTCATTCTGCTGACTGGGCATTCCCGCGTGGCAAGCCAATGTCCGTCTAAGTCCATACATAGGAATTCTTTAAAGTTTCTGAACCTTCTTACATCGCTTTCGTACATCCTACAAGTATTTCCCAAAACCAAATCTATTCCAAACCAATATTTCCCTCTAAAATACAAAAAGTTAATACTATGTTAACATATTACCGGGAGTCGGCCTTTCGGCCACAACAATACTGTGACATGTTGAGCTATGGATCACCCCTACCTCCCCAGTGGTACGTGGCGGTAACGTAACGCTCACGTTACTATGGTAATAGGCGAGTTCCCGCCCCGCCACTCCCCTCCGCGGTGACGTAACGCGCAACGCTACGTACCCATAATTAACTTCCTACTGTGACGTGGCACTCATTACACAACCGGCAAGCACTGCAGCTATATAAGTGAGCTGCACATATGGTACCAGTGAGTTCTACTGTAGCAGTCAGCGACTTCAGTTGTACTGTGACAGCCGCCGAGTTATAACGTGGCCATCGCTGAAGACAGTTCCGAGTTGTACTGTGACAGCCG